GGAGGAGGCTCAAGACGACACGAACTCTCTTTCTCTCTCTCTCTTGCTGCTGAAGCCCTCTCGTCGTGGCTAACAGACGCGGGGAATGAGGCTCCTGGACGAATGGTCACAATGAACGAGGTGGTGGGTGGAGGAGCTCTAGGGGAGAGGGTGGTGGTGTTGGTGGTGGATTAATTCGCGCACTCGCTCACGAGGAGCCGCGATGGGGGGCGCACACGCCGCCAGACGGGGTTCCCCACTCCGGCCCCGGGTCCCGCGGGGTGACGGGACCGTGACGCCAATGCGCGCTGTGACGAGCTTCGGGCGCGCACCCGCCGACACAAAGGTCCCCCGTATAGACTCGAGCTGACAGTCGGGGCAAGTGCTTGCTGTTAGCGAGCACCTGCGCAGGTGGGCACGTCGCGCCACCACGCACCTGTCCGCCTCGGTCTCCCCGGGCCCTCGTGTTTACACACCGCATGCAGGTACTCATTTGAGGCTGAGTCGACCTAGGGGGAGGCAGCGAGACCAGTTCCAAATACTCGCTGTCGCTTAATATCTGTCGTTAGCAGGAGTCGAATTCGGGTTGCTGAATTCGTAGCGCGACACGCTAAACCATTGCACCGCCGCTCCCACTGCGCTCACAAGCACAGGGAGAAGGGGGGGGGGGGGTGGCGCGCTAACCATTGCACCTCCGCTCCCACTGCGCTCACAAGCACAGGCAGGGGGCGCACTCGCCTCCCTCCCGCTGTGACGGGGGGGGGAGGAAGTTGTCGTTGTGTCTCTGTCGGTCTGTCCCACAAGCGTCACGGGGAGTCCCGGTCACTCTCCATTACAGACCGCTCAACTTCGCCGACTTTGAGCAACAACAACGACGACGACGACACGATTGTGCCGCGCTCATCTCATCGTGGGATTTTCATTACATTTGTCAGCGCGAGGTGTACATTTAGAGCCTTTTTTGTTATTAGTATGTATTCATATGACGTCTCTCCTCGGAGATGGAGGAACGATGAATTCAACTCGAGCGCAGATGTTGCGTTGGATCGTTGCATGAGCAAAGATCCTCGGAGATGGCGGCAGATTTCTGGGGAGGCCTTCATCCAGCAGTGGATTGACAGCAGGGGCGGTACAATGCGCATCACCCAATTCTGTCCTGGTGGAAACTAATTCTGCACCTGGCGCACACCACATCGAGTACTCCACATCGCCACGTGTCGACATGAGCGTCACAGCGACTCGGAAAATACGCGTCTTGAATTAAGCCCTCAATAATTACCTTCGTTGTCAAAGGCGCAGGACTCCAATTAACTTCTCGCGACACCGCAAAAGACCTCCACTCGATTGCGCTCGAGAGAACATCTCTTGAAGGGTGTTTGGCTTTCTCTTCCACACTCGCCAAACGTCTCCGAAGAGGCGGGTGCACGCGCACTTTCACGCCACACCACGCGGCACACGTTTTCAAGTTTCAAGTTTATTTATTAGGTATAGAGCCCTGTGAGCCATTCGGCTCTTGAATCGGGTGCAACCGCAACAAGCAAAAAACAAAAACAAGAAAACATCTTAAAGTGACTATGTGCAAACTGAAAATCCAGGGAAAAAAACAGCAACAATTCCAGAAAAAAGCACCGTACACCAACGCTGTGTGCAAAAATCCCAGTGGGATGCAAGTCAAAAAACAACAACAACCACAACCACGAGACAACTTTCTGATTGACTGCACCGCGCTGTGTGTATCGCGATGGGGGGACTTGCCCGTTGGTTCCACTGCCGCGTCAGGATGTCGAACCTGCGGCCTGCGGCCTGTAAGTCAGAGTGTGCTGACCATAGTAATAGGTTTTTATTCTTTCAACTGGTACAAAAACTGACACCTTTATACAAGGCATCATGTTTGCAATAACCACAACACAAGCAGTCAAAATGCAAACAAAAAGAAACAACTCTGATGATAATGATATGCACTGTCCTTGAAGTTGATTGGTCCACACCCGAGACAGCTTTTCTTAGAGCCCAGTCTCCATTGGTGTTGGACCAGATGACGCCAAAAGGCGTACAACTCAAAAACAGTGCACTATCAGAGTATGGAGAGCTCGGGGTAAGCATTTACACTATGAGACATCTCCTCTACCAGTGGCAAAATATAGTAATAGGTTTTACCCTTTCGACTGGTGCGAAAACTGACACCTTTATACAAGGCATCATGTTTGCAATAACTACAACACAAGCAGTCAAAATGCAAACAAAAATAAACAACTCGGATGATGATAATGATATGCACTGTCTTTGAAGTTGATTGGTCTACACCCAAGACAGCTTTTCTTAGAGACTAGTCTCCATTGGTGTTGTACCAGATGACGCCAAAAGGCATATCATTATCATCATCAGAGTTGTTTCTTTTTGTTTGCATTTTGACTGCTTGTGTTGCGGTTATTGCAAGCATGATGCCTTGTATAAAGGTGTCAGTTTTTGTACCAGTTGAAAGGGTAAAAACCTATCACTATATTTTGCCACTGGTAAAGGAGGTCTCATAGTGTGCTGACCATTACAGCGACGGCCGCATCCCCCGTATTGAAGCCATTCCTCAAATAAGAACGGAAATGATTCTCGGGAGCAGATACGATGGGCGAGCGGTTTATTTTCTTTTTTGGGGGGGCCAAAACCTGTGGCATGCTCCTGGCCCGAGATGTCACGGTGGGTGTCACGGTGGGTGTCACATTTGGTTTCACGGTTTGTGTCACCGTGGGTGTCACGGTAGATGTCACGGTGGGTGTCACGGTAGATGTCACGGTGGGTGTCACGGTAGATGTGACGGTAGGTGTCATAACTGGTGTCACGGTGGGTGTCACCGTGGGTGTCACAGTGGGTATCACCGTGGGTGTCACGGTTTGGTGTCACGCTGGGTATCACGGTAGATGTGACGGTGGGTGTCACAGTGAGTGTCACGGTGGGTGTCACAGTGGGTGTCACAGTGAGTGTCACGGTGGGTGTCACAGTGGGTGTCACAGTCGGTGTCACGGTTGATGTCACGGTGGGTGTCACAGTGAATCACACGGTGGGTGTCACGGTAGATGTGACGGTGGGTGTTACAGTTGGTGTCACGGTGGGTGTCACCGTGGGTGTTACGGTAGATGTCCCTGTGGGATTCACAGTGGGTGTCACGGTAGGTGTAACGGTGGGTGTCACAGTTGGTGTCACAGTCGATGTCACGGTTGATGTCACGGTGGGTGTCACAGTGAATCACATGGTGGGTGTCACGGCGTGTGTCACAGCGTGTGTCGCAGTGGCTGTTACGACGGCTGTCACGGTGCAGTGGTTACAAACTGAAACACGGCCCGGTGGCTCGCGCACCGATTGAGGAGGCGCGGTGTCGAGTTTCAAAGCGCCGGGGCAGGGAGCCGGGGGTGGGAGGGGGACAGGAAGACACTTCACGTAACCCTGGCTGTGAGCAATGTAAACAAATACGACCGCCTGGCACCGCGTGCGTTGCGGCCACACGGACGCAGTGGGAGAGAAACGTGGGCACGGCACGCCGACAGTTTGTTATTGATGTATTGCGTAAGAGAAACAACTGAAGTATTACATTTCGATTTAAAGCTTTCGTGACTGCAGGGATTCATCTTCTTGGTTCTTTCGGTAAAGTCACGTAGAAGGGAAATAATAAAATAATAAAACGAAGTATTGCTTGACGTTTCCGAGTATCAGAGAACGCACGTGTGTGTGTTGTATGATGATGATGATGGGGTGCGGTAGTGTAGCGGTTAGCGTGTTATGCTACGCACCCGACGACACGAGTTCGATTCCCGCTCACGGCCAACACCAGTGACGATTTTCTGTACCGGTCCTGAGCCTCTCCTAGGTCGACTCAGCCTCAAATGAGTACCTGGTGCGGTGTGTATGCATCGCTACTGTTGAGACAAGTTCGCTTGTGCGTGGTGCTGGCCCAGACACCCCCTTGTGTGCCGTGATGACCTTCAGAGGTGCTCGCTAACAGCACTTTGTAAGTGTTGTGGCTTGGCTCTCCAACACACCGGTGTGCTGTACTAGTCACGAATTGGCATGTTCTGTTTACGTGACAAACCGTACGAGTTGGCTGTATCGGGTGGTGGCGGGTTTAACGACACAATTATATATTTGCACGATCTAACCCAAAACTCACTGTATTATGGATGATGTTGGTCGCGAAAGCCTACGTGCACTTTTCCCAACAGTGTGTTATGGCTATACGGGGAATCTTTGTCTTTGTGTGCATGTATGTTTGTTTGATGATGATTGTGTTCTACACACTCTACGCCCGTTTTAATACGACGTTAGTTTACACAACGATTGTTTCTGTGAAGGGAAAATCTGAATGTCGGTTTTTGTAAATGTCATCGTGATTTTGTCGATCGCTATCACCGTCGTGAACTCCGCTGCCTCGAGACTTCTCGCTCGTGACCTTCACGGAGGTTTTTACCTATCAGCAGATTGACAAATGACTTGGCAATGTGATGTTATGAAATATAAAATAGGTGGCAGACATATATTATTATCACCATCATCATCATCAGTGTATTTAAATATAATCGTCATAGTGATGGTGAATAACCTTCACTAAATGAGTAAATAAACACGATGTAATCATCGTCTATAAAAATTGTCATCATCATCACTGCCGACACTACATACAGCCCTGTACTCGACATCTGCGGTGGATGATAGTGTGTGTGTGTTTGTGTGTGCGTCTTCGTGTATGTGTGTCTGTGTGTGTGTTTGTGTCTTGTGTGTATGTGTCTGTGTGTGTGTCTGTGTGTGTGTCTGTGTGTATGTATCTGTGTGTGTGTCTGTGTGCGTGTCTGTGTCTTCGTCTTTTGTGTCTGTGCGTGTGTCCTGTGCCTCCCATCCAAATCCCATCTCCCCATCCCCCCCATCATTTCGACCCCACATTCCCCCCTCCCGCCGCTACCTCCCACGCGTCCTTGCTCCACCACCCCACTGCTCCCCCCCCTCCCACCCCCCCCCCCCCCTGCACTCCCCGACACGAGCAGGTAGCCGAGAAGCGGCCTTCACGCACGCGGTGCTCTCGGCCGGAGTCGCGTACGCCATCACGGCGGCGTGCAGCCAGGGCAACCTGAGCGAGTGCGGCTGCGACCGCGCCAAGCAGGGCTTCTACACCGCGCAGGAGGGCTGGCGCTGGGGCGGCTGCTCGGCCGACCTTCGCTACGGCCTCGAGTTCTCGCGCCTCTTCGTGGACGCGCGCGAGGTCAAGCAGAACGCGCGCACGCTCATGAACCTGCACAACAACGCCGCAGGGCGCAAGGTGCGTGGCTGTGCGCGCGCGCGCGTTCGTGGTTTGCTTGTAGGTGATCGCTAATAGCGCTTGCCCCCCCATCCTCCCCCACCACCCCCCCCCCCCAGACCTTCGGTGATGCTACGCGTGGGGATCTTTGACTGTGTAGCGTGGCTCTGGCCACACACCTCCACGCATCGTGCGAAGCGCGGAGCTTCGTGGGTGCTCGCTAACAGCAGTCGCCACTGTTTGGCCGTGTCGGGTGGTGGAGGGTTACGACACATTCATAAATAACGCGATCTAACCACAAAAACCTTTATTGTGGACAAAAAGGATGTTACCGCTACACGGGGGAGAGGGGGGGGGGGTCTTTGTTTGGGGAGCGGTGGCGCAGTGGATGAGCATGCCCAGCTACGAGCCTGGCCACCCGAGTTCCAGTCCCGTTCACGGGACAACTTCGGTGACGAATATATGAACGGGTTCTGGGCCTCCGCGAGGTAGACTCAGCCTGAAATGATTACCTGATGTGGTGTGTAAAACGACCTTAATGAATTAATACAAATGTGCAACGCGCAACAAAAAAACGAATTTTAAAGGACACTCAGAGACACGGAAACATCAGGGACGCTGTTGGCTACCCAGCCCCTCCTCGTGTGCCACGTCGACCTTTCAAGGAGCTCCCTGACAGCACTTGACCAGTATCTTCAAGGCTGTCGGGTGGATCTTTGTCTTTGCCATACCGCTGAGCCACCTGGCAGGTGACGTGGATGTGTAAGCAAAGAGGTGCGGTGTAAACAGCGCGTTGTTGTACTAATTGCTCCCGCACCTCCGATTGGGACGGTTGGCAACGTACGGTGCAAAAGAAGTTCAACATACATGCTTTGGGCTGAACTGTCTTCTCCCGCCTACCAAGTGGTCCCCGCAAACCCAATGACAAGTACCTGTTTGTACGTGGAGGTCGACTTTTCAGGCGGGGCAGGGCTGTAGTGGGGGAGAGGGGAAGGGGGGGGAGGTGCGTGGGGGGTGGGGGGGAATTTATTTTTCGGAGCTCAGTCCCGGACAGCTCCTGCCTAAAAATGAAGCCATTGTTGATTGGCTTAGTGAGTTGTGGGTTTATTTATTTTATTTCCAAAAACATTGAGACGAGAGCTCGCGATCTGCCCTGGTGGTATCCATTTCAATGTTCACCAATCTAGTCCGTTCAAACGCACATCGTAGTCGCACGCCGCACGCGCCGGATGATTGATAATTACAGTACGTCAAACACGCGCACGCACGCACGCACGACCGCGCTTAATTTTCTCACCGAATGCTTCCCGGGTCGTAGGAAAACTGGAGCAGGCATGCAACTCAAAAGCCACAGGCATAGCCTAGAGGTGTTAACTGGATGTGGTGGACAGACCCCGACTTAAACTAAGCCCCGGTTCGACTCGGAGACAGCATTTACGCTGTCAAGCATTCATTAAACACATCACTCTAGAATTAACATCACTCAAGCACCACCTTGCTCTTCGTCTTCCCACGATGCCTTTCAATCAGCCGCCTCCGCACCACGTGGGCTGCAGACGACGACGACGACACGCGCTCACTTCGTTTACAGATCTCACTCTCGATTTGAATAGGAAAGGTTGACGTCAATCATCGAAGGGGGGTGCGGCGGTGGTGTAACGGGTCACAAACACAGAAGTCTTCGCTTGGGTCTCTCAGCGCGGCATGGTGGTCTAATTGCGGCAGTAAAAATGAGCAACACAGCAGTTAGGCGACTGCGGGTCACGTGCGCTGGGGTAAAGTGCGGGGTTATCCCACGTCTTCCAAGACGTCTGGCCAGAGTAGGAGAGTAGAGCACATGTCCCCTCGGGGGGGGGCTCTCCAAAGCTCCCTCGAGTGGAGGACCTTCCGATAGCATTGGTGCGACAAAGCAAGTTTGCAGGGCTGCACTTTCACCTGTTCCTTGCACCTGACATTGTTGGCCACATTTCCACTGAGGACCTCCTCCCTCCAATGTCCTCCAGGTGAGCGCAGCCTAATAGCAACTCACGCGGTGCTTTCATCTCGCCTGCACGGCCACGCGGATGGAGGTGGCCACCCACCCACCCACCTCCTCCTCGTGAGACAGCGACATCTCGATGCCCTTGCAGCTCGTTCGCCCCTATGCTCCTTGACCGCTCTCGATAGGGGTCTCCTCTCCCCCTTATCACACCTGCAGGCCCATATCTGAATGAAGGCGCTCACGTGGCATGCAGGGAATTATAATACGCCTGTGGGGCCCTTTTTTCTCTGCAGGCGATTTCCCAAAACCGAGCACTCCTCCAGATCCAATCCAACGCAGGTGCTGAAATGTCTTGGGGGTGAAAACAAAAACACGACCCGTCTCCAACTTTCCCCCCCCCCCCCCTCCCCGTGTGCGGGACCCCCTCACACACTCCCTCGCTTGACCTCTCCCCCCCCCCCCCCCATTCTCCTACCTCTTCCCCTCGTCATTTTTTCGGCACAATGCCTATGTTTTCCGCAGCATTTAGCCGGCACAAAGCGGATCAGAGAGGGTCGACACCAACAGCGGTTTTGTAAGAAACACAAAAAAACATTTGTTTGACCCCTTCTCCTCCTTCACTCGTACGAGTGACGCCGCTATTAGCGATGCCTTAACCGCTCACCTCTCTCTGCCTCTCTGCCTCTCTCTGTCCACATGTCCCCCACCCACTCTGCCGGCCTCTCTCTCCACCCCACGCGGCCGCCAGGTGCTGGAGGAGAAGATGAAGCTGGAGTGCAAGTGCCACGGCGTGTCGGGCTCGTGCACCACCAAGACGTGCTGGACCACGCTGCCCAAGTTCCGCGAGGTGGGCTACGCGCTCAAGGACAAGTACGACGAGGCGGTCCACGTGGAGCCGGTGCGCGCCAGCCGCTACCGCTACCCCGTCTTCCTCAAGGTGAAGCGCTCGCGCGCCTACCGCAAGCCGCTCGACACGGAGCTCGTGTTCACCGAGCGCTCGCCCAACTACTGCGAGGAGGACCAGCTGACTGGCAGCGTGGGCACGCGCGGCCGCCTCTGCAACCGCACGTCGCCGCACGCCGACGGCTGCGACCTACTGTGCTGCGGCCGCGGCTACAACACGCACCAGTACACGCGCGCGTGGCAGTGCAACTGCAAGTTCCACTGGTGCTGCTACGTGCGCTGCAGCACGTGCAGCGAGAGGACAGAGGAGTACACGTGCAAGTGACGGCGGCGGCGGCGGCGGATCGCTCGCTCGCTCGCTGGGACGCTCGCCCCGACTCTTCCGCAGGCTCGATCGCTCGCCGGGTCGATTGTCGGCCGTGCCCCCCCACCCCCCCCACCACGAGCATCGCTGACCAACAATTGTGCCCGGACAAAAGTGGCAGCGGATGTCGCTGCGCAATGGGACGGCTGTCGTTCCGCACCTGGCAGTTGCCCTCAACTCGCCCACCCCACCCCACTCACCACCTCACTCACCCCACTCACCACCCCACCCACCGACACCCTGCGTGATTGCCGAAGCGGGGGGGGGGCTATGCGGGTCCCTGCACGAGGGAGCTCTCCAATCGGCTCCCGAGCCTGGGACAAAGTGGCCACTCAGATCTCAGCATGATGGGAGAGTGAGGAGTCGTCGACTGTTCCACATCGCTCACTGTGCCCTCCCCCATCACCACTGCCCCTCCAACCACATGCCGCTTCTCCGAGGACCCACAAATCCCGCTATGTCGCTGGCACAGGGCGCAGCATCTCCCGGTGTCTCCCAGCGTCCCCCCGGCGAGCCTTTCGAACACGGGGGAGACGGGTGGACCCGACGGTCGTGTGTTTTAACAGGGGAAGGAGCGCACGCGGAAGGGCATCGTCCAAGACGAGATGCCCTCATTTGGGAAACGAAAGGACAGTAGTGATCGTAGGAAGCGCGGGGCCCCGCGCGGCTTTGCCTTTGATTTGCACACCTCACCGACGGCGCTCGCAGAAGCCGAGCTTCGGGGGAACGAGCGAACCGCTTGCCCCGGCGATGGCCCTGGCGGTTCGCCGTGCGCGGGGTGCCGAAGACTGCCAGAGGCGAGCGGGAGGCCCTGCCGTGGTGGAGACATTGATTCGCTGACCTTGTGACATTTGAGTCGCGCGGTGGCGAGAGAAGCAGCAGGCCACAGATCCAGTGGCCGAGGCCGAGGGTCGCCAAGGCCCGTTGTGGTGTTGGATACAAAGCTATCGTTTGTCGGCTAGGGGAGATTAAAAAACACACATTATAAGCGTGTAATGTATAACGTGTTGCGACTTACTAATTCTTGACAGATTGTTTTCTAAAAAGAAATGTATAATTATTATATGATTATTGAAATGTTGCTAATTTGACTTATTTAGGAGCTTTGAATTGAACAAAACGTCACTCATTGCGGATAAATATGACCATAGCATGAGGACATTTTGTATCGATAAAAAACAGTGAAAGGTTATGCTACTGATTAAAAACGAGATGGCTGTGGAGGGGGGGGGGCGGGGGATGTCCCAATGTAAATGTTATTTTAGTTTGCGTCTCTCAACCTTTGCTAATAATCTCTTGCTCGCGTTAGGTTAATTTATTAAAACCGCTCGCGTCACGTCAAAGTTTGCGAAACGAACACTGTAAGCCACGGATATCCTGGACACGTGTGCACCCCCCCCCCCGCCCCCCGCGATAAAAACACCCTGACAAATGTTTTGTCTGCGCTCGAGATTATTATTATTATTATATTATTATAAAAAAAATCGCAGTCTGCATGTCGATTGCGAAAAAGCCAACGCTTTTTTTTTCATTTTTTTTGTATGATTCGTAACTGTATATTTTCTTGTTTGGATGATTTATTGAGCGGCGAGCGCGGTCCGACTAACCCGGCGGCGATGAAACGACAAAAAATGTTGCCGTCGTCATGGTTCTTATCGGCTTGAAAATGGGGCGGAGCGCTGACATGGGCGCTTTGGATTTTTGTAATTTTTTCATTAGGGCTTTTTTTGTAATTCATATGTTTGAAGTCTAAGCGGTACAGGGTGGCTTGTGTCTGCGGCCTGCAGAGTGATACCACTTGCACAAAATGGTCATCTGTCCGTACTTACAAAGGGCTACTGTAAGATACCTTTCCACGCTAGCGATGTAATTATATATTTAGCGAGAGAATATTTTTATATAAATATTTTATTTATACCTTTTTTTGTCCTCTAATTTCCCTCCCCACCCCCACCCCACCCTTCTTCCCGCCGTGCCACGCACCCACTCGCCCCTCCTGGATTTTGACCTCTCGGCGAGCGAAAACAAAAGGGCCCCCGACGGTGGCTTCGTTTTGCGCACACGACGACGCTTCGAGGGGCTGATTCCAGTGAGACGTTGCCACCTGACACGCTGCCGCCACCTCCTACCGGAGACGCCCGCTTGCAGTTATCCTCAAGTGGACCCGTGTCCCCCTTCCGTAGTGATATCTGCTTTGAAGGTCAAAGGACATTGGCCCGAGCCGGTTCACTCAGCAGTCGTTGGCCACGTTGCTTCGTAAAACCGTGTGGGGACCCGGGTTCAACAACTTGCGATCTGGGCTATTGAGTTGTGTTTTTCGGTGGGGCCTCTGTGCAAAATGCCGAATGAAAGCCACCTCTCAGTCCCAGGGCAAACTGCCCCAACCTCCACCCCAACCTCCACCCCAACCTCCACCCCAACCTCCACCCCAACCTCCACCCCAACCCCCACCTCCACCCCCACCCCGACTGCCCCGATCCCTATGGCCCTGCTCCTGCCAGTGATGGCACTTGAGACTAATTGAAAAAAAAAATCGTTTAAATTACACTTCAGCTTTCAAACAGTTAATACCCATGCACCGTGGCAGCGCAGTGTAGACGTGAATGGCAACACAACAATGAACGTGCATGTCAGGCGAATAAACAAATGTAATTCGTCGTTTCACAATTTTATTTCAACGGGACTTCTCGAACGACACGCTCCATGACCCCCCCACCATGGTTCACATGTTCACAGTTGGCAATCTTCTCCAGTGACAAAAAACAAAACAAAATTCAGCACCCGCACACTACCCACACCCGATGCTTTGGAAAACGTCGAAAACATCTGTAACGTTGGTGGGCCGTGAGGAAGGGGAGTTTCATCAGTCCCGCGTTAAACGAGAAACCTGCCTTTAATTTTGCATCACGCAATGCGGGTCCCACAGGCGGCATCCGTTGGTTTCATCTTGAGCCACACATCCAGGTCACCGTCCAAATCTCGAGGATCGAGTCGGATGTAAAATCAGAGTCAGGCTCTTTATTAAGACTGGAAGAATCCGATGAGCTATGAAGCTCTTTGTCACGCATGTCCGGTAGAGGCGAGTTGGTACGTTACAACAGCAAACGATGCACACAAAACACGGATAGGAGTGCAAAGTACAGGAACGCTAAGCAAGTCACTCAAAGTAAATAAAGTGTGTAGGTGACATTAAAGCACATTTGTGCGTTCATCAGTTTCGTCTTTCTTTAAAAGAAAAATGATAAAAAAAAAAACGATTGCCCACATAGTAAGGGGCTGTTATTTGTTTTTTTTATGTATTTTCTTCGAAACATATCGTCTCTGGTCGATGTCACTAAACCCTACATGTTTAAATTTCCTGCTGATAATTGCGCGTTTGGAAGCTTGCAGCCCTCTCTGTCCGCTGTAAAATTCACTCGAGAGGTCCGTCTCGATACGTTCCCTCGACCGTTCTTTCCTCGGATTCGCTGCGAGCATCATCGACACCCCCTCACCCCCCCCCCCGTTGCACTGGAGCGGAGTGCCATTAAACAGCAGCAGCGATGTCACGAACCCGCGCGTCTCACGAGTTTTCATTTCGCCGCTCGAGACGCCGCCGCAAAGGTCAAGACGCACGTGGTCAGCGCGAGCAGCACCCCCGACGTGACCTGCAGCCATGGCCCACAGGTGTAATGGGCGTGGTGTGACTGGGCTAGGTGTCACGTGACCAGTAGCCATAGGCGTGGTGAGGGGTGTGCTGGGTTGTGGTGTGACTGTGTTCGGAAATATCATGCTGCACTGCATACCCGGCTGAAATTAAGGCAGGCACCCTGTGCGTGGCAGTAGTCACGCTGATACTGCCAGCTTGTGTGCAGTCTCACCTAACCCTTATTTCATGCACACTCCACTAATACACCACGTGTGTCATATATCGCGCCGGAACTCAACAGGCGGCCCCGTGTGTTCGCACCATCGCAGAAGAGGAAAAATAAAAAAAACTATGGTGACATGAACAAAACTACGGGACTGCATTGACAGTGCTGCACAGGCCTGAGTAATACGACCTCGCATAGTCCATCACAAACACTGCCTTATAGCAGAAACATATACGATAGCCCGATGTTCCAGGCAATTACCCTTCGTCAGGGCTGCTCTTTAATTCATGTGAATACACGTGAGTGGAAGACCTAACAGAGAATGATTTGACGACGTTAAAGATTGGTAGCGAGAATGATGTGGCACTACTTGAGCATGCTGGCAGAAGACAGCGACAAGTGGAAGCAAACGACGAAATGTGCAGTGGACACCGACGGGCAATCTGCCCATGGACCGTGATGACGGCACACGCATCACAACGCAATTTGGATGTATATCGCTCGCGTCTAAATGCGACAATATCGCAAGACGCCGTGGGGATACAGGCAAAGTCTATTTTCTATTGGGAGCGAGAGAGAGGCAGTCAGTCATAGACAGAGTTTTTTTTTTAAGGAAGGTCCCCGAGTCTGAATTTGAACAGGGGCAGGGAGTCGTGAGCCAAGGATGGCTGGGGGAAGAGAGTTCCTACTGTGAAGGCAGCAGAGGAGAGAATGAGCCACCTTCCTTGAGCGAAGGCTGAGGGCTTCGACGGAGTCAGCCTCTTCATTCATACTGAGGGAATCCGATGAGCTGTAAAGCTCTTTTTCACAAATGTCCAGTTGGGAGCGGGTCAGAACGACGTAACGAACAAACGATACAAAAACACGATAGGAGTGCAAAGTAGAGGAAAGGGAAGCAAGCCACTTTAAAATATTTAAATAAAACTAAACTATTTTTTTTATCTTACCAGGTAAAGTCCACTGCGCTATCAGCTTCTTTTTCAGAAGCGACCTGACCACAAGTGACTCTTCAACAAAGTGACTTATCGTGTGGAAATTTTGAGTAGCAAATAACTTCAATAATCTGCTGAATCAGAACGTGCGTGGAGGAGAGTAAAGAGACATGGGAGGGAGTCGGCAGTGAGTCCCCGGAGAACCCAAATATGATGAATTTCATTGACAATGTAAGATTGTGAGTGCTTGTTGACATGATAACGAGACGATCGTGAAATGAAATTGTTTGTATCTGGACCCAGCGAATTTAGTCGGAAAAAACGATTCTCAGTTTCACTCCGGGGCAAGGTCAGTCTCAAGGTTTGTTTTACTTCAAGGCCCGTGCTAAACACTCACAAACACACGATCCCCATTATCAGTGAACCAACTAATCCACCTGCCATTGAGTTTGAGACTGAAGCTAATAGATGTTGGACGAAACCTGCTGCCGTAAAACAACTTTCAACATTTTGGGCACCAAAACGTTAAGTAAGAAAATTAGTTTCGCTGATAACACAGGATCCGCTTATATTCAAACATAGCTTCACATACAACACACACACACATCGCATACGTCGCATACAAATACAAAGATCCCCCTAACATACTTATGGGGCGAGTGCTGTTAGCGAGCACCTATTAAGGGTGGGTGGCCAGCACCACGCCTGGCCGCCTTTGTCTCCCAGTGGCGATGTTTACACACCATGCCCGGTATTCATTTAAAGCTGAGTCAATCTACGGGAGGCCCAGATCCGCTTCAGATAATCGTCACTGGTGTTGGCCGTGAGCGGAAATCGAACTCGCATCGCGCAGCTCGGTAACCCTTCCACCCCCCCCCCCCCCCACACACACACCTGGCACACGTAAGCTCCAAAAATCCCCTGGCACTCAAGAGCAACTGTACACACTCGGAACAACATTCTAATGGAGCATCACACGGGAGACAGCTATGTAATCCGGCATAATGAGCCCCCATTTGAATCCGCCAGCCCCAGTCGTGAGAGAGACGCAACAATGCCACCGAGGCGCTGGGTGACGATTAACATGCGGCGCGCAGCTTCACTCGGGGCCCGGGCGAGCGACTCGGCGCTTTGCTTCTGCGTCGGTCGCCGTCGGCGCTGCAACGTGCGACCGGGCCGCAGTCGTGGCACATTAGGAAGGGACCACCCTTCGAAGTGTTTTCCTCGCGTGTTTTTTTTTTGCCCTCGATTTGGAGCGCCTCCCCGCGTCCTTCATTTCGAGCGTTGCGACGCAGCGCTTCCACGCGCGATGCCAAAGGCGCCCTTCTCTTGACGTGCGACGGTTTGACCGCGTCCGAAATGTGACCGTGTGCGTCCGCTGCGGGTCTCCTCGCCATTCGAGAGCTCGGTTCGAGGCGGGCGAATGCCGCGCTTTGGGGCACGTCGCCCCCGCGCTTGATGCGCAAACTCCAGCAAATTGCGGACGACGTCCGGAGGTGGACCGCGACCCTCAAGGGAAATGGATCCGCCCGCGTGGTCACACCGGGCCGTGATGCGTGGATCAAACAAATCACTCGAGACACGCCGGCGGATGGGAAGCGAGAGCAGTTCATGCGCATGCGTTCGCACGAGATCACACGCTTGGCACAGCGGTCCTTCGCTCGCCTTGTGCGACGAACGAATGAACGAACGCGTGATCCGACCGCCACGGGGTCCGCTGAGCCGGTGGCGAGCCCAGCTCAGCTCCGCTCAGCTCAGTAATGGGACCTAGAGCCAGCGACAGGGCTCTTCTGTGCAGGGGCCGACGCGATGGGCGGGAATCCCCGCCACCGAACCGGCCCGTGAACGCCGCGCGGGCGCTTTAAAGTGAACGGCGCTGCCAGATGTGACGAGTGGAGAACTGAGAGAGCTGATCAGTGGGTTAGGTTGACCGTTCAAAAGAAGGGTAAGGAAATAAGTAATTAAACTTGACCAAGTTCAAGATTGCTTTGTTTCGTCTCGGATGAGTTGAGGAACTTAGAGTTTAATAAACGTTGATTTATATATTTTTTATAACGTCCATCGCTGTGCGTTGTGTGCCGTGATTCGGGCATTTCTTTCACAGTGGACCTCCTGATGACAACTGTGAATATATAGAAACCGTCACAGAAGCTTTACTTTAACTTTTAAATCATTCACTGCATCTTAAAGGCATTTATTCCAATGTATAAATGAAAGACGTGTACATTTTTATGCTCCGTGCAAGTAGTTTTTGTTTTTAAATAGACAGTCACGTTTTAATTCATCCCATACACTCCAAAACACTCAATAAAAAAAAACACACTTATTTTACTTTAGTACATTTTCCCAATGCTATCCCGACGTTGCTATTGGCATCACGTCCCGAGATAAAGTACAGAGTATATATCCGGGTCTCTCGCAAAGCAATGCAACCACCGGCAAAACGGCCTCTGCTGGTCCAGCAATGGCCAGGATCTGTGCGACAACTAATAGCATCAGTCCAAATGCCCAATGAGCCACGAGGCACCATGGGCTCAGCAAACCCCTCTCTCTAGAAGTTTCAAACATCACACACAGACGTGTAGAACAAGCACACGGCCTTTGTGCGTAACGCGCAAACCGCCAAACGTTCCTGAAGAACTGCATTTTCTTGGTCCTCTTTTCGTAGGCCACCGACTGACAGGAGTGACACACAGAGACAACTGTGGATCAGTTTCGTCATTACGAGGACTAATCAGATACAGGATAGTCACCAACGCTCGCTGCTGCAAAGTCTGCCTCTGGGAAACTCTCTACCCCTAACCACTCCCAATCGCGTCCCTCAATAGCCACGGGTCAGAGGTCAGGAGTGTAGCATAGCTGTGGATATGTGTTGAGCACGATCGAGGCTGAGAAGCCAAGCGAGCGACGTCACAGCGTGCGCTTTGCTTTCTCGCGTTGACCCCCGTGAGGTCGGTCCGACCCGCCCCGGCTTGGATCCAACTCAAAGCGGCGTGCGTCACAGGTGGACGAGTGAGCCTTGGAGGCCGGGTTTATGTGGGCCCCCCCCATCTGTCCGATTCCACGGTGGCGAGATGTTAACACCCTCGCCTGGTGTGCAGGAAGTCGTGTGTTCGATCCAGACCCTGACACCTGGTGTATAAGTGGAGTTTGGACGTTCTCCCCGTGGTCGCGTCAAATTTTCCGGGTTCTCTGGTTTTTCCTTCCACGTTTAGAAACACGCGTTTAGAGTATTTAGCTCCGATACATTTCCACGTTTGAAGCCACTCCGTTGAGCTATCATTTGTGGCCAGGTCGCTTCTGAACAAGAGCTATATAGCTCAGTAGGCCTTACCTGGTAAAGTAAAAATAGGTTATAGTTTTGTGTGCAGCTGGCTGGCACACTTCCCACTGGCTGTGTTGATGTGGAATTAGCCACCAGCGATGAGATCAGGAATCTGAAATCTGGGCCCTTATTCGACATGAACTCAGATTCTAATGAGTGACAAGTTTATAATTGATATCGACCCAGTGAGTTGTGTAGTGAAATACAGGGCATGACAGAGTGAATTCTTGTGAATGTGATAATATAGGTCATTGAAGGATCATTTGGATATTAGGATAGATTTGTTGACGTCACCTCCTGGGTCCTCATGCCTGCAAAAGGGAGATTCTGGAAAGCAAAAAATTTTCAGTCTGCTTCTAAAAAATAGGAACAATATTCAAAAGGCGTCACGAAAAACTAAGTGGTATTTATTTTACGAA